TTTTAACTTTTATATTTGATTAATTAATTAATTAATTGATTGATTTTGAATCTCCAGCCGAGACTCGGAAAACGGGACTTGAAAATCCTGTTTCTTCTGGCTGAGGGGGGAGATGTGTTCAAATCTTATTTGCATCAAAATCAAAGTTCTGAATGATCCTGAGGAACAGCTCCGGGTTTTCCAGAGGAAGCAGTGGCTGCCTCATCCCTGGAATTCTTCAGGATGGATTGGGTGGGGCTTGGAGCGACCTGGGATAGTGGAAGGTGTCTCTTCCCATGGAATGAGATGATCTTTGGGGTCCCTTCGCTCTCCTGAATCCCTCCAATATCACCACCCCCTTCCTCAAAACACCTTTCCCTGGATTTCTTTGCGGCTTCCCTCATCTCAAACAACGGGAAAACCGAGGCGGGAGCGGAGAAAACGGGATTTCACCTGGAGTTTGGGCCAACTTGGGGTCGGGAACTTCACCCCGGGGGTTTAGGATGTTCTCACCGTTCCCCCCTTTGTGTCTTCTCCCAGGTGGGAAGAGGAAAAGAAGGAAGATGGAGTCAAGTGGACGCAGTTGGAGCACAGGGGCCCCTACTTTGCCCCCCTTTACGAGCCCCTTCCCGAAGACGTTCGCTTTTATTACGCCGGTACGTCCGCCTTGGGATGGCACCTGGGGTTGTCTCTTCCCTGGAAAAACAGCTGGTGTCTTCTGCTGTATGGAATAGGAATATCCCATGGGATAAAGCCTGCAGGCATTGCTTGGAGCTGGAGGTGGAAGGAGTTCTGGGGTTATTCAGGAGTTGATCCTGGTGGTCGTTTTTTTCCCTGAGGAACTGTTTTTTTTCCTCGTTAAGGTGCGTTTTGGGGTTGAGTTTTAAGGATGAGTTGAAGCTCATCCTGGCTGGAAAACCAGGATTTTCCTGTCCCGTGGCCTCAGTGACTCGTCCTGTGAAATCTGGAAGGCTTTGGTTGAGGTGCTCTGAGCTCCTGCTCGTGGCTCCTGGTGTCCCCAAGGTCACCAAGGATCACTCACAGCAACTCCGGCGTCGCCAAGGGGCTGATCCAGGACAGATCCAGAGCTCTGCTGTCCTTGTTTTCCTCCCATTTCTGCTGGAATGTCTTCTCCCTGCTCTCAGCTTCATCCCTGAACTCATTTCTGGTGGATCCAGGCAAGGAGGAGCAACCTGGGGCTTGGCCAAAGGGGTGCTGGAGATGGGAGGGGACCGCATTCCCTGGGGGTCTTGGTGCTCCTCAGCTCCATCCCTGGGCCTTCCTGTGCCTTTTTTCCAGTAGGAAAAAGGCCAATTTTGGGGAATGAGGTGTCTGGAGACACCAGAGGGCACTGCTGGGACATCCATGGGGCTGTCAGAGACTTTGGATCTCTCAGGAGGATCCCTGGCAGGGTTTGAACCTTCTCTGTGACCTCTGAAGTTGTTGGAGATCCACCTGTGTGCCGTGTGGATCGGGGCCGGTGGCTTTGGCCTGGAATCTTTGATCTTGGCTCGTTTCCATCCAGGAACGGTGATAATTTTTAAGGAAAAGTGTTTGTGGACAGACAACAACCCCAAGTAGGAGGAGACCACGGAAGGGACCACGTGGTGCCTGTGGGTTGTCGTGGGGCTGCTCTGAGGCTGTGACCCCCCCATGGCCTGCAGTCCAGGAACCCAAAACCCTGGTGGTCCAGGTGGGATTGGACCATCCCCTGGAGCTCTGCAGGTTCCTTTTCCTCCAGCTTGCCTCGGAAAGCTGTTTCCAAGGAATTCTTAGGATGAGCCAAGATGTTCTTCCTTGGTTTCAGTGTGTTTCTCTGGGCGAAGAGCTCAGGAGAGGGTGGTGGCTTTGGCACCTCCAGGGACCGATCCCAGGCCCGGAGAAGCCCCTGGAACCGATCCCAGACCCGGAGAACCCCCAAGAGAACTGATCCCAGATTCTGCCCAGAGAAGCTGTGCCTGTCCCATCCCTGGAAGTGTCCAAGGCCCGGTTGGACAGGACTTGGAGCAACCTGGACTAGTGGAAGGTGTCCCTGCCCATGGCAGGGGTTTTGGAACTGAAAATCCCTTGCAACCCAAACTATTCCATGATTCTTCGATCCACTGGACAACCAGGAGAGGCTCTTGCCTCTTATGTCTTTTACAAACTTCAGCTTGGAGCATCCCATGGTTGTTCCATCTGTGTGGATGAGGTGAAACCTCTCCAAGGAGGATCCTGCCTCCTGGAATTGGTGGCATTCAGGAACATCCCACTGTGCCAAGAGCTGTGGATGTTGATCCTGGAGCAGGAGGCGCTGAGCTCCTGCCAGTGACTCTCCTCCCCCTTTGTCCCTGTTTTGGTGGAGTGTGGAATGTGAGGAGTCTCCAAAGGACTCTGGGATTGGGCTGTTCCCTTAACTGATGCTGAAGGTCCTCTCTTTTCCCAGGAAAACCCCTGAAGCTGAGCTTGGCCACGGAGGAAATCGCCACATTTTATGCCAAAATGCTCGACCACGAATACACGACCAAGGAGATCTTCCAGAACAACTTCTTCCACGACTGGAGGAAGGTACATCCCTGGGAAGGCTTCCT